TGCTGCTGCTGCTGCTGCTGCTGCTGCTGCTGCTGCTGCTGCTGCTGCTGCTGCTGCTGCTGCTGCTGCTGCTTCTTCTTCTTCTTCTTCTTCTTCTTCTTCCTTCTTCTTCCTTCTTCTTTCTCCTTCTCCTTCTCCTTCCCCCCTCCTCCTCCTCTTCTTCTTCTTCTTCATAATCATCACCATCATCATCATCTGAGACAGGATCTGGCTATGGATTTTTCACTGTCCCTGAACTCACAACTTTTCTGCCTTAGGCTCCAACTGCTCGGCTAACAAGGGAACACCACTATGCTCAGATTTTCAGTTTTAATCATTAAGTATGTTAGCTCTAGGGTGTTTCTCTGTAGATCTCTTGTAAGTTTGGGATTGTTCACTTTCCTCCTGGGTAATTATTTTTATTTTGAAAATTTATTTTTACTTAAAAACTATGTGTATGTATGTGTGTGGGTTGTGCACATGCATGTGATGCCTACAGAGGCCAGAAGAAGGCATCAGATTCTCTGGAGCTGGATTCCATGTGTTTGTGAGACCCTTGATGTCATGAGTGCTGACAGAACTCTAGTCCTTTGCAAAGTATGTGCTCTTAACGACTAAGTCATCTCTTCAGCCCTGAGAATTCTTTAAATAAAAAAGAATAAGAGATAGATGTTAAATTTTTGTCAAATATCTTTCCTGAATCTGTTAAGATAACTAATTTCTGTTTATAGTTTATTAATATTATGAAATAAATTGACTTATCTTTTAAAATGGTAAACCATTATTTGATATCAAACCACTATCAAATCTCAAGATATAAAGCCATCACGAGTATTGTTTGATCAATTTAAAAAAGTTCATTTTGAGATGGTTTGATACTTGTTTTATTGACCAAAATTTTTGTAATATTGAATGTGCACACAAAAAGTATGTGCCTCCTGCCAGGTGAAGTCTCCTGAGCATTGGTATGGCCAGATGGACTGACAACCTTACCTCTTCTGGACCAATAGTGGTGTGGTAAGTCCTTCTGTATGTGTGTTGTTTTTATTGGTTAATGAATGAAGCTGTTTCAGCCAGTGGCTTAGCAGAATAGAGCAAGGCAGGAATTCCAAGAAGATAGAGGAGAAAAGAAGGCAGAATCAGAGAGATGCTATGTAGCTGCCAAAGGAGAAAGACGCCTGTGGAAGCCCTCTGGAACCTTGCCAGTAGCCACGACCTGTGGTGATGCACAGGTTAATTTAAGATATAAGAGCTAGCAAACAATGTGCCTAAGTGATTGGCCAACCAGTGTTTTAATTAATACAACTTCTGTGTAATTATTTCAGATCTGGGCAGCCGGGAATGAACAAGCAGCCTCCGCCTACATAGTAGTGATTATGTCCTGCCTTGTGAAGTCTCCTGAATATCAACGTGGCCAGGTGACTTGTTGTTCCTCTTCTGGACCTGTAGTAAAAGGGATTATTATAATATCTTTCTTGATTTATAGTTTTTTTCCTTCCTGTATTTGACATTCTGCTACCTAGGACAGAAACATTTGGAATTGTTCTAACCTCAGAATAGGCTTATTCCTCATTATGAAATGCTTTATTTGTTCCTGGCAATGTTCTTTGCTTGGAGATGTGTTATGCTTGCCTATAGTATCAGCACTTGAGAGGAAGAGGCAGGAGGATCAGAAGTTCAGGGTCATCCCCTCCTATGCAGTGAATTCAAGACTAAGCTGGTTACAGGTCTCAAACAATTAAAAGATCACCTCACCTTCTTTCATATTGTTTCTGAGGAGAAATATGCTGTAATTATTCTCTTTGTTCTTTTGTTAAAAAGTATGTCATTTTAAACTCTGCCTGCAAGATTGTACTGTTTGTAATTGATTTTGAACAATTTGACTGTAATGCACTTGGGAACTATATTCTTTATGTTTCTTTAGTTTTATTGTGTTAAAGCCTTTGTGTCTATGAGTTAAAGTTTTCATTAAATTTGGAAAAGTTTTATTGAGGATTTCTTGAACTGTGTCTTCTCCTTGCCCTCTGTCTTAGTTTGGGTTTCTATTGCTGTGAAGAGACACCATGACCACAGCAAGTATTATAAAGGTAAAAATTTAGTTGCGGGTGGCTTATGGTCCAGAGGTTCAGTTCATTATCTTCATGGTGGGACATGGTGCAGGAAAAGGATCTGAGAGCTGTATACCTGGATCTACAAGCAGCAGAAGGAGTCTGTGTAGTGGGCATAGCTTGAGCATGTATACGACCTCAAATTCTGCCTCCACAGTGACATATTTGCTCCAACAAGGCCACACCACCTCCTAAGAGTGTTATTCCCTGGATACCAAATATTCAAACATGAGTCTGTGGGGGCCATATCTATTGAAACTACCACACCCTCGTTTTTCTTCTTTCTCTTCAGAGACTCTATTACACATAGACTAAGTTGTTTAATGTCTCACAGTTTATTGATATTTTGATTAGTTTTTTAAAAAGTTTTCTGGTGTTTGGTCTCAGAGTCTCTTGTGTCTTTAAACTGAATAAAATTTGTAAAGAAACTAAGACTTTGAGACATGGTATAACTCATGCCCTGCATGATATCATACTAGAAATTTAATTTTGTTTTTAGTTACTTGGAATTAAAGGTAACATTATATTTCTAGAAGGATGTTATTTCTAGGATCTTTATGTTAGAGAACACTGGGTAGCAGAAGTGGGCCCCAACAAGTTGGGGAAGTTGTCTTAGTTAGGGTTTCTTTTGTTGTGAAGAGACACCGTGACCATGGCAATGCCTCTCTCTTTCTCTCTCTCTCTCTCTCTCTCTCTCTCTCTCTCTCTCTCTCTTCCATGACAAGGTTTCTCTGTGTAGTCTTAGTTGTCCTGGAACTCACTCTGTAGCCCCCAGGCTGGCCTTTAACTCAGAGATCCGCCTGCCTCTGCCTTCTTAGTGCTGGGATTAAAGGCATGTGCCACTACCACCTGGCTAATAGCAACTCTTACAAGGGAAAAACATTTAATTGGGGTGGCTTACATTTTCAGAGGTTTAGTCCATTATCATCGTGGCAGGACATGGCAGTGTTCAGGCAGACATGATGCTGGCTGCATCTTAATCAGAAGGCAACAGGAAGTGGACTGTTTCATTGGGCATGACATGAGCATATATGAGACCTCAAAGCCCACCTCCACAGTGACACATTTCCTTCAAAAAGGTCATAGCTCCAAATAGTGACACTCCTGTTAGTGACATTTTCTTTCAAACCACACATTCCACTCCCTGGTCCCCAAATATTTGTAGCCATATCATAATACAAAAAGTCCCCATAGTCTATAACAATCTCAAACTTATTTAAAAATCTAAAGTTCAGAGTCTCTTCTGGGATTCATGCATATTTCCATATTTCTATTCATGCCTATCTCTTAACTGTAATCCTTTGTAAAATAAAAATAAAAAGATGGCATCTTTCAATATATAATGGCACAAGATATATATTACCATTCAAAATGTAGGGAAAAGAGCATAGCAAGGTCATACTGAACCAAAGCAAGACTGAAAACCAGCTGGGCAAACTCCAAACCTGCATTTCCATGTCTGATGTCAAAATGCTCTTCAGATTCCCAACTCCTTTCAGTTTTGTTAACTGCAACATACTCTTTTCTCTTGGACTTGTTTACACCTTATGTGTCAGCAGCTCTCCTCAGCAGGTATTCAATGACTCTGGCATCTCTACTATCTTGGGGTGTCCAAGGCAATCCTGGCTTCATAGGCTGTTTTGAGATTTCCACTATCATGGGAATGAATCCAAAACTCTTCACTTTAGCCTCAGGCAAACTTTTCAGACAAGGGCAAAAACCAGCTTCATTCTTCACCAAAATATCACAAGAAAGGTTTCTAGGTAACACACTAAAATTCTGTTCCTCTGAAACCTCTGAAACCCCCACAGTTCATCAAATCATACTCAAATGCCAATGTCTTCCATGCTTCTATGGTATGGCCCATTAAACAGAGCTTAAAAGGTTCAACTACTTTTCTGATCCATAGTCCCCAAATCCATAATCCTTCAAACAAAAACATAATCAGGTCTATCACAACAGTACCCCAGTCCTTGGTATCAACTTCCATCTTAGAGTTTCTATTGCTTTGAAGAGACACCACGATCATGACAACTCTTACAAAGGATAAACGTTTCATTGGGGTGGCTTACATTTTCAGAGGTTTAGTTCATTATCATCGTGGCAGGACATGGCAGTGTTCAGACTGACATGATGCTGGCTACATCTTGATCAGAAGGCAACAGGAAGTGGACTGTCTCATTGGGCATGACTTCAGCATATATGAGACCTCAAAGCCCACCTCCACAGTGATGCACTTTCTCCAACAAGGTCTTAGGTCCTAATAGTGACACTCCCTTTGGGGCCATTTTCTGTCAAACCACCATAGAAGGTATTGCCTCAGTGGTCAGCACATTATAGGCTGATACATTTATAGTCTTTGTGGCTTTATTTTCTTTTTATTCCTTGTTATTCCTTTCTCTCCATCTCTTCCTCTTCTTCTTCCTTCTCTATCTTCCTGTCCTCACTCTCTTTCTCTTTGGCATTTGATGTTCTTCCTCTCCCTCCCTTCCTGTCCTATGTTCCCTCATTTCCTTTCTCCCTGTCTCTCCCTTTTCTTCTCTTTCTCTCTCCCTTCTCTTATCATGTCTGTTCTTCCCTCCCTCACTCCCTCCTTCCCTCCCTTCTTTCCTTTCCTTCCTATTATAATTCTACTGGCCTGCCCTGTCACCTGAATACCCTGTCCCTTTAAGAAACAAGCTCCGCCCATTCCCAGTCTCTCCCTTCCCAGTGAATCAAGCTGATCTTGTGCCTCATCTCTTCCTCTTTCTTTCTCTCTCTGTCTGTCCTTCTGTTGAGGCAGCCTTTGCCTCTCCCTTCCCCCTTCCTCTTTCCTCTCTTTCTCTGTCCCCCCTCTCTTTCTCTCCCCCCTCCATAACCCCTTTACCCTTATACCCTTCCCAGCATCCACCAAATAAACTCTATACCCAAGCTCTCTCTGCATGGTGTATCTGTCTGTCTTCCCCCTGCCGTGGTCTCCCACCTGGACCTGCCAGGGGCACCTGCGCCATAAATCGTAAATCATAACACTTCCTACTGATGTCCCTTCCTTCTTCCCCTCCCCTTCCTTTCTTTTTCCTTTCATATAGGACCTCCCGGTATAGCACACATTGGCCTTAAACTCCCTGTGTAGCTCAGGCTAGATTCAAATGTTTGGCCCTCCTGTTGAGCCTAAAGGTGTGTGCTGCCATGCTCCTGGTTTCTGCTGTTTCAATGTCTGTTTCTTGCTGACTGTAGGCTCTGTGTAAACAGGGATATGGCTCATTTTGCTGATTGTAAGCTTCCACACCTTTTTAAGGTCCTCAAAAGGGAATATTAGAGGATTTAATGAGACACCAGTATTTTATGGGCTATAGGGGAGAGATCTGACTCAGATCCTGGGATCAGTTAAGGGGAGGGTGGTTCCCTAGGGAAAGACACATGCCATTCAATTTAAAGGATTAATAGGAATTAGGCAGAGAGCACAAGGAGAAGATTCAGTAAGAGAAATAAAACCCAGACTCAGTTTGAGATCAAGATGGAGAGCAGGATGGAGAGGGCAGAGGAACAGGTAAGAGCCTTGAGAATGCAGACAAAGCTAGACTCTTCTTGGGAGGCGTTGGACAGCTTAAAAGGTTAGACATGACCACTGGACTTTTGAGAAGATGATCATCTTGAATTTGAGGAAGACTATGATGGGTTACTATTCCTTGACTATTCAAAGTCAGCTATTCAATGCCTAGCCAATACATGCCTGGGCATATCGGTGGGATGTTTAACCAGAGAAAACATAGTCTGAATATAGGGAGCACCATCCCATGGACTGGGGTTCAGGATTGAATGAGGGGGAAAAGGAGCCATTCATCTCTTTCTGTTTCTTCAGGAGGAGGTGACCAGCTGTCCTATGCTTCTCTCACCATGGCTAGAGCTGCACTTGTGTTTAGACCTCACCAAGTGTGATGGACTGTTTCTTCAACTATGAGCCAAAATAAATCCTTCCTCATTTCCTTTGTCAGGTATTTGGTCACAGCAACAAAAAAGAGTAACTAATAAAACTTAGGTGGTGGTGGCACACACTTTTAATCCAAGAATTTGGGAGGCAGAGGCAGATGGATCTCTCGGAGTTCAAGGTCAGCCTGGTCTACAGAGTGAGTTCCAGAAAAGCCAAAGATACACAGCAAAACGCTGTCTTGAGAAAACAAATGAACAAACAACCCTCCCCCTCAAACTTGGAAAAAATAAAATAAAGCAATTTGAATGACCCAGGAACTTGGGTGAGGACCACAGGTTCAGGGACAGAGTGAGTGGAGGGCTTGGAGAAAAAGGGTGGATTGGAAGCCAAGTTCAGTATCTGACAAGATGTGGTTGATGTTGAAGAAGGCAGGAATCTAGAGATCTGCCTTTCTGGATGACTGAAGACTGGGGAGGGGGTAGGCTCTCCTGGGGGAAAGGTTGAATTTGAGATGCCATATTACACTGTAGAACACATGCCTTCCACAGAAGGATTTACCATTGGAGAGAGCCAGGCTAGTTACTCAGTGTTTGTGAGTCATCAGTATATAGAATTCAGGTGGTGTGGTTAAAGATCTTAGAAGAGGCAGAAGAATCAGTGGATCACTGGGGTGGTGTTGGGGAGAATATAAAATGAATGAGTGTGGTGTAAGGAAGGTGAAAGGAAGTCAGCCATCAAATCTGGCTGTAAGACTTCCAGGAAGCAGATAAGAGTCACCTATGCCAAATGCCACTAAAATATCAGCAAAGGAAAGACTGACAAGTTGCCTTTGGCATTTATTGATCTGAAAATAGTGTGAGGCATAGACCTATAAAATCCAGGCACTCTCAAGGTGGAGATATGAGGATCAGTTCTAGGCCATCCGCAACTATATAGAGAGTTCAA